CCACCAGCCATTCCTCCACCACCACCAGCCATTCCTCCACCACCACCTGCACTTCCACCAATAATAGTAATAGTGGTTCTTTGAGTAGCATATTCAACACATCTTCCATGTTGATCACAATGGCAGGCTTGCAAAGGAACCACCAATGGCTTTTCACAGCTTCTGCCACTGTTGTCAAACACTCTAACTTGGACCTGATGAATGACAAACTTGATATTTGTAGAGTATAGTGCTGCTGAGGTTTCTGTTGAATAAAGGAAGAAACAGAACAGATAATTTATATTAATAATTCTGTTTTGGAGGCTCTTCATTCCAACCCAGTTCATGCTCCTGTGTTAGCATGTTGTCACTTATATTAATTAATAGATTCATTTAAAAGCTGCCCATTAGCATCATGCTCCCTGGGCAGTCTTTACGGTATAAAATAACAAATGACAAATTAAATGACAAATAACAATTAAAATATAATAAATAAACAGAATAAAATCACAATAAAATAATTAAATAAAAATAAAACATACATTAATATAATTAAAAACCCGTGCATTGATATACATAGTCTAGATGGTGCCAAAGATGTGCTGGAAAAGGCAAGTTTTTGTCAGGCTTAAAAAACCCTCGAGAGGAAGGCAGATCTGTGTTAGTCTCTCCATGCTTACTTGACTGCAATAAAGTAACATTTTTATTTCCTGAAACATTTCGCAGTTATATTACTGACTTCTGACTTTGCTTCCTTTATACCCTTTCAGATGGTGCATATAACAGGGTATCAGAAATTCTTGTAAGAACTGGCTGTCAATTAATATAAGTGAGGGAGAGAAGGTGCTATATGTGACTGTGTCGATCAAGGAGAAGTTAGAGGGCAGGAAAAAGCTATTCTACAACAACTTCCTGCCTGGAAAACTCCAGGAGGGGCATGTACAGGGATTAGTAATAACTTTGAGACCAATTTAATTCCTTGATTTTGGCTATTAAGGGACAGTTGTATTTAATTAAGGTTGCTTTATGTGATATTAAATTTATTGAAGTGAATCTTTGTCACAACCAAGACTTTGATATTCATATTGCACTCCTAACTCAGTTCTCAAAGGATTGGGTTGATGCCAGTGGAGTAGATGGAGTAACCAAAAGAATGTAACACTGGAATTTTATACAGAAACAACTGCTGGGTTGCTGAGTGGGCACAGCAGTGAGAGGAGGGAAGGTGAGAGGAGGGAAGCCCACTTGCATGAAGCACCATTCCCATCCATCCGTCCATAATGCAGCAGTGGGAAGTGGACACTCAGCTGTGTGAAAGTGAAGGAGATAGTTAGTTAGCTATACTGGCTCTAAAAGGGGCTGCCCTTCAAGACAATTTGGATACTGCGCTTGGTTCAGAATGGAGCTGCCAGACTGCTGACAGGGAATGGTGGATGAGAACCCATCACACAGGCCCTAGTTAGGCTATACAGGCTACCACTTGAAGTCCAGGCCCGATCAAAGGTATTAACACTAACATATAAAGCTGTAAATGGTTTCAGACCTGTTTATTTAAGGGAATGTCTCCTTCCCTATGAGCCTGCCCAGACCCTTAGATCTGCCATGGAGATCCTTCTCCAAGAGCTGTCCTTGAGAGAGGTGAGGAGGATGGTTAGGAGGAGGAAGGCCTTCTTTGCAATACCGCCCCAATTATGGAGCTCACTCCCCTAGCACTGACGCTTTCTTCATTTCAGCACCAGGCCAACAACCTTTTATTCTCCCAGTTTTTAAATCAAGCTTGTATTTTAATTAGTTGTAGCAAATGTGGGCACTAAGGAGTTTTTAACTATTTTACAGCTGTAATATGGTTTTAATACAAATTTATATTTTTGGCTTTTTATGTAAACTGTCTTGAGATTTTATAATAATCAGATGGCATATAAGAAATTTTGAATGAATGAATGAAGTTTCCCTCACCTATATAACACCCCATACACAACCCAACCCATTGTCTTCATACTGTTTCTCTCTCAATATTCCAACTCCCTCCATTATACTTTAAGGTGGAACATTCACACAATTTATGTTTAGAGTGACATTCCTACACAGCTGTGAAGATGCACATGCAATTACAGGACTTTTAGCATATTTTTTTATTAAAAGCAACCTGAAAAAGCAGCATGACCATTGTGGTGGCGCTGTGACTGTAAAGTCAAAAGGGGGAAACAAAACAGAAACTTTGCAAACTTCTCCTACTTCTCCTGCAATTACAACACTATTCATTGGTCTGTGCACTTGATCACATTATAAACATACTGATAACATAGTATATTCATTAACATCTGCCCACAGAGTAGTAATATCATTTGAGGGAGCAGGGGTGCCTCATATACAAAGGGGGGGGCATGATTAGTAGAGGAATAGCATTGGGAATTGGAAGCATGAACATATTTAGGAAAATGGGCAACCTTTGAACAGTATGGTAAATAATGACATCAACAAACATGTTTGTTGGTACATATAGCGGCTGCCTCTTTGCTACTGAGCCAGCCTCAAGATATCAGTGTATAAAGCCCTAAACAACTTGGGTCCAGGATGCCCAAGAAAATGCCTTATCCCTTATCAACCTTCCTGGTCACTGAAGTCTGGTGGTTTCCCCCAGACTTAAGGCCTGAATGGAGCTCACCAACAGAAAAGCCTTCAGTGTTGTGGGTCCATTTCTATGGAACTCTCTACCTCTGGAGGATAGGAAAGCACCAACACTGTGTGGTTTTGGTGCCTGCTGAAGAATTATTTGTTCCAGGAAGCTTCCTGGCTGACCAGCCACAGTTTTAATACTACCTTGTTCTGATTTCATTATTTTATCAATTTCATCTTTTTATTGTGCATCACTCCAGAATCAGTCTAGCTATAAAGCAGTACACACATGCTGTATATAAAAGAAATACTCACCATTCACTATTCTGATATCCCATGAATTTTCTGGGGAGTGAGCCACTATGGTAAATTTAAAAGGTGGTCCATATGGGTGAGCATCTGGATCTTTAGCTGTGATTATTACAGATGGATTTTTTACACACACTTGTCTAATTTCTTCTGTCACTATTGGGCAGTTATCATTGACATCTTGGACTGTAACTACAATGGTACCAGTGGCTGTCATGAAAGGACTGTCTGTAATAAAGAAGAACTATGTGAAAAAAAATTCAGATGGCTTGTACCACTCAATAATAGAAAATTGCAATGAAAGAGAAAAAAACACATTGAGGTTTAGGTTTAGTTTACAAAATTTAATTCATGCAAGACAGAAAGGTGTCTAGGAAAATCAAAGAACAAATGGTAAGTTTTAGTGGCTGACATGTTACACAGTTTTGAAAGGCTGAATTACTGGTAAGCAAAAATCTACAATTCCATGGCACTCTCAGTTTGAAGGACAGTTTAAAGAGGAAGTCCTTAGGCATTAAGATCTGAAAATAGCATGAACAACTGATTGAAGAAGCATCCTGGGCCAGCTGAGCTACAATGACAGCCTGCTTCCTCATTTGTTTGAACGGGTGGGCATCCCTGTTTTTCAGATTCCACTGCTGTGCTGGGGGATACATGTTTTGTGGCTCCATGCACTCTTTGGAAACTGAGCCAGGAGCGAGTTTGCAGGATGAGAATTTGAACAGAATGCTTGACTGCAGAAGCCTTTGGGGTGATCCATGAGGGTGCTTTTTATTTCAAGGAAGAAAAGAAAGAACTATTTTCTTACCTCTAGTGATAGCTAGTAGCTCTGCTGAGTATACTCCATCAACTACATAGATTGACTCCCGATCAATCACTTGCTTAAAAGTGATCTGGCCAGTTGTTGGGTTGACCTGAAACCAGGCAGCTGGATCACGTCCCATCATATAGCTTTTTGACCAATAGAAATGCTTAGAATTAGTTAAACATGCTGAAATGCTAGCATGCACAATCTTGTTAGTGCAACCCCCCCCCCCAATTTTATTAGCTCAATAATTGTAAGATGAAAATATATGCTCCATGGACATATATACATTCCAATGTTGTTTACATGGAAATAAAATGTCAGTGAGAAACTATATTGATGTGTGAGAACAAAACATCATCCCAGTAAGGGCTGGACTGTACTTCTTTAGACTTTATACTAGGGAGAGCATTCACATTTTGAATGTGCTCCCTCCCTCTCTTTCTTTTTTTTTTAAAGTCCACTGAATGTAGTACATTCAGGAGGGGGGTTTATAGTCTCCGCTATAACACGCAAAAGGTAATGTGGAGTTTATAGATCTCACTGAGGCCGAGAAACTTGAGTTTCCACTATTATTGTCTAATTGGGTTGAAAGAATTCAGATCTTCAGGGCCTAATGAATAATAGATCAAATTACAGAAAGCCAGATTCTGGCTTGAAAGCAGGAGAAATTTCCTGACTGTTAGAGCAGTATGGCAATGGAAGCAATTACCTAGGAAGGATGTGGGCTCTCTCACACTAGAGACATTCAATATGCAACTGGACAGTCATCAGAGAGGGATGGTTTAACTGGGAGTCCCGCAACAGCAGGGGATTGGACCTAATGGCCCTCTGGTCCTTTCCAACCCTACTATTCTATGAATGAATGGCCTTTGCCACAAACATATCTTACCGGACATTGGTTGCAACTCTTCCAGTATCTTGATCAATGGCTTGGAATTTTGCAACCTCGTAAGTCAGGATATCTTTACTTGTTAAGCTTTCAGAAGCAGTAACAGCAATTACAGATGGACTAAATGATGGTCCTTCAGGAACATTGAGCACTTGTACTGAAATTGTGGCAAACTGACTTTGAGATTGAGAAACAACTGAATAGTGGAAAGGGTTGGGGTTTCGTACCCCAATTCTCAGAGGCATGCTTGAAAATTGTTCATAATCAATTCCCTGAAAGAAAGTAATGACACATATCCATTTCACATACCAAAATACACACAAGATATTGTACGCATATTTGTATGAATAGCACATCGAGTCTGTGTTTGTGTATATACATGCGTGTGCATGTATACATGTACACACAAAGAACAATAGTATTACAATTTAAAATATAATAATAAGCAGCATAAATCATTTCATTTTTGTGGATGAGAAGGTAAATCAATTAGCATCTGAGGTGACAAAATAAAGCACAACTCCAAGAATGAGACTCTAAGGATGATGAAAACAACAATGATTTAGAAATATATGTTAATTGTTTCAAAGGTGTGGATACAGATAAAGGTCTTCATCTGGCACTTCAAAGACCACTATGTCTTTATCTATCATATTTTCCTTTCATCACAAAGAACATCTCTACAAGAATATTTCATGCATTTTAAGAACAAGACAAAAGCTGTAAAGCTTTTTAAGTGGCATGTATGAAATCTGTCTCCCCTTGCACTGCAAGGCATCATTCCAATTCCTTCTCACCCACACTTCACTGCTTATGTGTTCCTAAAGCTCTCCTTATTGCTCAAAACCAATATCATCTGAGTCAAATAACTTAGGGAAATCTATAATATGTACACTTTTATGCCACTAAACACCAACCAACCTGGAAAATTCAAGCTACTTATCTAGGCAACAAAGCAAAATTTCCCTAATTTTTCATGCCAACTGTATAGCTTTTCTTCTGGTTAGCTTAACATTATTGCCATCTAATGCTCAGATACTTTCACCAAACTACTCAGGGTGGTGTTCATAGATTTCCCTTTGTTTTCTCCTCATCAGAATCCTACAAATTTGGTTAGTCTGGAAGAGAATGATAGCTGCAAGGCCATCTCTTCATCTTGGTAGCCAAATGAAGATCAGAACTCAGGTCTTCCCATTCCTAGGCGAACATACTAACAGTGCCTACATTTGTGAGTCAGTATGGTATCGAAGAAATCATACGAAGGCATCTCCATCCTGCTGCCCTTCTAATGTATTGGATTGCAACTCTCATCAGTCCTGGTCCGCATGACCAAGTTGGTTAAAGATAATGAGAGATATAGTCCAACATTTATGGAGGTCACCAGGTTGGGGAAGGTTGGTATAGTGGTTAGCAACTCATTACTGATCCTTGGTTGAAGATATGCATCACTTTTAGGCTCGGAATTACATATATACAGAACATATTACAGTCCTCAATCCTATATGCTCTCAGAGTATGAACCTGGGTTCTCTTTGTTCAGGAACCACAATAATTGGTGCACCAGGATAAGCATATGACATTTTTGTCTTGGCCACAAAAGCTATTTGGGGCATCAGTAGGAAAACTGATTGTAGGAGTATCCTAGCTCACAATTTGGGAACTACTGCAGCAGAAAAGCTTGCCTGCCTTGAGCCTGACTTCCTACCTTAAAAACACCTTCTTTACCCAAAGGTGCTCCTGCAGTCTGAGATGAAAATAAAGCCACTAGTCAGGAAAACTTCTTTTTCTTGCTCAGGAGAGGTAACAGAATCTCTCCTTCCCACATACAGACATGGAACTAGATTCTTGTTTTCAGTAGGAATGAAAGAATGTTTGAAATGTATACCTTTACAACTCTCAGGATACCTTCATTAGTTCTTGGGTCAACAGTTATTTCAAAGTTGCCTTGTTCATTTCCAGACAAAAACTCAAATTGTGCAACCCAATTATCTGAAAATTCTTCATCTTCATCAAGTATTTGTATCCTCAGAAGATCTTGACTGAGTGAATTCTCTGATATTGATACTGAATACTAGACAAGAAAGATTAAAGCACAGTGTCCCAGTCAGCTTGAAAACATCTTGGCATAGGATTAAATTTGTAATTTCAAACTGGCTATGAAAACAAGGGATTCACACTACTCATTATTTTGCCCTTACATGGATACAGTTGCTGCACAGAATATGGTTACAAGAAGGATTTGCCACTCAGCAAATCTAGAACTCATTGGAGTCATCTGAATTCCATTTCAAAGTTTGTACGGACTCATATATCATATCAGTTTGCAGGTCTGGTGGGAGGGTTTTTCACATGAAAATTTGTTCATGTTTTCCCTAATACAGGCCTCAATTATTCACATTTTAAAGTATGCAATTTCTTTCATTGTTTAAAGCATGAACACATGCATTTTTCATGTGTAAAAGAACACTTTTTCATGTGTATTTTTTTAAATGCAAGCATTTTGCAATCCATACCTCTGCATCATTTAACTGCTGTTTTCAGTGAAATTCAGGTAAAGTGCATAAAATATTTTGTATTCTTTTTTTTTTCTTTTTGGGAGGGGAAAGAGAAACTATGTGGCTGGATAAACTTGGTTTGTTGGCTTTGCTACTTGGACTTCCAATGACATAAAAATCCACCCCATAAGTATCTCAATTGCCCACAGAATTCAAAGTCAGTTGTGGCTAGTGATGATGCTTTAGTCAATCAATCTTACCGAACTCTGTGAAAAGGTTGGAAAATTATCATTTACATCTTCAACTGCAACGTGACATAAACATTCTGAAGATATTCCATCTGGAGCTCCATCCCTGTCTGTGGCTTTCACAACCAGAGTGTATCTACTATGTTCCTAAATTAATATTGGGGAAGGGGAGGAAACAAAGAAAAAAATGTGGAAATGTTAAAAAGGTCACTTTGGTAAATAACAAAGTATGCTTTGATAAAGTGGAGATTTTTATCTCATCATAAAAAGTGTTTTTCATCATGAAAAGGGTAGGAAATGTGTGTCTCATCTCTGCCCTTTCATTCAAATCAGTTTTGCAGTCTGGTCCTATGTAATATTAGATATGAGTTCCAAATAAACAGGCATAGGATTGTAGCTTTGCATATATGTATTTCTTTCATTTGTCTTTATGTTTCTGCCTGAATAATATTGTTTGTTCTTCCAGAAAATGCACCATTGCTGCCTACTTGTTGATGAGGTTCCAGAAACCTTTCGGCACTCCAGTTGCAGATGTATGCCATTGAAGTACACGGCATTTTCCTAGCACTGAAATTGCAATATTTTTGTAAGTGAAATGACCTTTCAGCTTAAATGACATTTCAAGTATCTTTCCAGTCCTGCTACTGAAAAGAGACAGAATATATCAGACCTGTTGGACAAGTTTAGCTGGGTAGATTCCCTACTATTATAGAGATTAGTCTGGTGGTGACCCACCTCAGAATTAACCATAAGTAGACTCTTCTGGAGAGCAGGGAGTTAGCTTTCTGTTCCACCTTTCCCCAAAAGTAAATTCAGAGATCTGAATAGAAGCAAGCTAAGTCTGTGTGGGAACTGAGTCTGAAAAGGAAACAGAGAGTTGGCATTGCTCTCTGCAAGAAAACTTATTGTGCTCTCAGGTCCTCTAAAAATTTAATGGGAAACAGAAATCTGTTGGAGTGCAGGAACCTTCATCTAATGCTCACCCTGTTTGTGTTAATTAATCTTATTCCACAGAATTCCAGAATGCCCCAGTGCTGTGTTCTCAAAGGAAGATGAATCATGGGTAAACAAAGAAATCCCTTGGAAGTGGGGGATATACACGTAGCAGTATTTTTCTGGGAGAAGCAGCATTTCACAAGGGGTTTGTTTAATGTTTTACCTCTCTGTCAAGGGCATTTGCAATGTGAAGTTCCCCAGTCTCTGTGTTAAGAATAAACCTGGGCTGGCCTCCGGGAGTCTGACTCACAATCTTGTAAGCAATTTTGGAATTCAAATTATTTGGTTCATCTGCATCAATAGCAGTTATTTTCATCACCAGGGTGTCTGCAAAAAACGAAAAAAACACTCAGAGGTAGTAAAGCACCCCACCATCACCATGAAAAGCTGCACTTCAGTTTGTGAAACCCAGATTTAACTCTTTTAAAAAATATAACTCTTTTTTAAAACTAAGAACCTTTCTATTCTATTTTAAAAAGCTAAGAATAGAAAGCATTTTAACTTTTTTCTAAAATTCTCTGAAGTAAATACATAAAATATATGGTAAGCATAAAGCATAAGGTGAATTTCATATAATTTCCTCAGTCTACAGTACTGTGATTTACTTCAATGGAATTGTTATAATTCTATGAAAAGCAATTTCTCTAAAGAGACCAATGCGTAGATGGTTGAAGTATATGCTTGTGTTTAGGTCTCCCATGCCTCACTCCATATTTAAAGGCAGGAAGACACTATGGGTGCACTTGAAATTCTGTCAAATAATCTGGTAATACATTTTCCTTTATCTTGTTTCTCTAAATTTCAGAGATGTTTACAGACAAATCCTAAGAGGGGTGGGTAGATTTTACGGCACAGAAACTGCCATTTCCTTAACCCTGTTGGCTCACACAGAAGGCTTTGAGAGATTTTTCCCTGCCCCTCCACCCAGCCTTCTAAGACAGTTTTTCTGCAGTACATTAATGGAAGAGATACACCTACATCATGGCTGATTTACCTTTCTGACCTTTCAGTGGTGGGGGTACGCTGGAAAACTGATGGATCCAATAGATCAAGACCTGCCTGAACCCTTCTGGGATGTCCCATGTTCAACCCTACCTCCAGGTGGTATATGTCATCCCTGCCTACAGAAAGGAAGGTTTGTAGCATCCAGTTGCCCCTCTTCTGCTCTTCCAAGAACTCAGAATTTCTCTTTTAATCAAAGCTATTTTAATATATTAAATATATTTGGATATTACCCTTCATTTTCTGCTATCTTTTTAAATAATATTTTTAAAAGGATTGAATATAATAAAGTGTTCATACATTTTAAAAAATGATGTGTTACAAAAGTTGTTCTTGAAATATTATTAATTAATCATATTTTATGAAGGTGTATGCTTTCCATTTTATTGATTTGATTTGTAATGTGATTTTCTATCAAGAATAACATTTATTCTAAACCAATAAACTGTCATAAAAATATTGCCCCTTTCATTAAGGTGATAGGCATTTATCCATTTACCTACCAGTTCTAACATATTTTCATAAGGGCCCTCTCTCTAGGAGCAAACATGGCAAACATCTGGCAGTATATGGACTCTCTACAAGGAACAGAGAGCAAGGTTTTAAAAAACCGGAGAGACAGGTAGACTTAGGGTCTGAGAGCCAGAATAGTTCTCAGTGTTGCTCTCACCTTAATCTGAGAGTCAGTGTTGTGTAGTGATTAAGAATGTAGGACTGGAACTCAGGCAATCTGGGTTCTAGTTCCCATTCTGCCATGGAGCTAATTGGGTGACTTTGGGCCAGTCACAGACTCTCAGCCCAACCTACCTCACAGATTGTTGTTGTGGGATAAGATTGAGAGCAGCAGGAGGAGAATGATGCAAGCCACTTTGAGTTCTTTGTAAGAAAAAAGGTGGGGTATAAATCTAATAAATGAATAATCTGGGTTGTTTGGGAGCATGCTGGCTTGTAACTGATTGCCCATTTCCTGTTTTTTTAAAAAACCAGGAACACCCCATTCTCTGCAAGGTGACACAGGACAAGCTTGCCTGGAACCAGCTCGCTGCTGTTGTTGTTGTTAAAATGAGCTTGTAAATGCAATTGTCTTTATTATCTATCTTGATCCTTTTTAAAATGATGAATAATATGATGAATTTTTTTCACCTGGTTTATAAGAGGACCTCTGATTTCTGCTTTGCTATTTTTGGTTTCAAGTTTCATTATATGCTGGTATATCTTGGCAGAGCCTTGCTCCTTCCCCCACACCATGCTAGTTGCATGGTACAGAGAGGATCTCTGAAGTTAGAACCCCAGCTCTGGATTCAGAATGGGGGTGCTCTGAATGCTCCTGTGCCCCAAGCAATGTCGGGAGGCCATAGTAATGTGCCATAAAATGGGCTTTTATGTATAAAATTGGATAAAGTTGTAGCCTAAAATAGTAATTCATCCTCACCTAGGTTTCTATTTATTATTAGTTGTCATATTTATATACAACCTTTTTCCTTCCAAGAAACTCAGGTTGGCTTATATAATGTTCCTCCTGCTCTCAATTTTATCCTCACAACAACTACCCTGTAAGATAGGTTGAAACTACCCATAAACACAGTTACATATACTCTTTTCTTTAATTGCAGCTACACTAGAAATGGCACCAGTGTACTCACTCTCCATGCTGCTCTCTATTATTGAGCCTGAGAACGTGGTTTGTGTAAATACTGGTGCATTGTCATTGATATCCAGAACCCGGACTCGGAGATCAAGAGGTGTTTCCACTGATTTTCCAGTCAAAACATTGATAGCATGGCACTTAATCTGTATTAAAAAGAAAAACAAAAGCATTATAAAGATTTGGCATCCATTCAATACACAAAACATAGAAACAGAGTGAGTCAGAAGGGGTCTCCCTGGCCATCTAGTCTGACCCCCAGCTCCAGGTGGTTCCACTCATGACATGCCTACCATGTGCATGTCCAGTCTACCCTCACGGATGGGGTTTCAATCTCCTCCCATGGGTGAAAGCTATTTGCTTCTTAAAAAGCTATTTGCTTTCTTTATTTTATTTATAAATATTGCATGAATGGTTGCTATTATTCTTTTTAAAATATTGTCAAAATATTTCCTGATTTTACTCACAAGTTCAAGGCCACAAAAAGTGGTCAGTATTAAAATGATAAAAAGAGTAAAAGCTGCAGTATAAATAATAAAACACTCCTTTATAGCAATACAAACACCTGCCCATGTTACAGAACCATAATCATTAGAATGCCACAGCAGAGAAAAAAATAGCAGCAAGATGAAAGCCTGCGTCACCAAAATCTTTCTATAAAGTGGTGTTCTCACTGTATGGCAGAATACCATTTGAGAGGGGTGCCAGAGCATGTGTGCAGCTGCTGAAGAGGTCTTCTTTCTAGTTTTCACCAGTTCTGCATCACCTGTAGATGACCTTAGTAAATGGGCAACCTCCAATGGGGAAGGTGCCTTCCCTATATTGTAGCTGTCAATGGTAAAGGCAAAGGAGAATATATTTGGCATATAGTTAGTACTTACAATAAACACAGGATTCTCTTCTCGATCTACTATTTTTGTTATATTAATTTCACCAGTCTTTTGATTTATTACAAACACTCCAATGGGATGCTGATCAATCCCTACTCCACTTATTTTATATATGATTGGTTGCGTTTCTTCACAGTCAGATCGGATCTGCAACAGAAAGCAAAACAAAATTTATTTTCCAAATAATTATTCAGGCGCTTACCATAACATTAAGTGGCCCTTCTACGATCATCGAGCAATTCTGATCTAGTTAATGACAATCACGGGAATGGTATCATCTGTGATTTAGCATCACTTACCAAAAACAGAAGCAAAGCACTCCAGAGCCTCATGAACTTACTGCTACATGCATTAACATCCAGGGCAGATATTTCTGTGGCTGTCTGATTCATAGAGAGAACTTTCTGAGTAGCTTCACTTCTCCTTTTTCAATGCTTGTGTGATACCTTATAAATGTCTGTATTGCAGAGCATACAGGTGGATCATGATGTGGGGGGAAACAACCCATAAAGCTACTCCCATAGAGTGTGGCCACTCTATACCTACAAATGTACAGTATGTACAGTATCCTAAGCTAATTGGAGATTTTTTTTGACTAATCAAACTCTGAAAATAGGACCATAGCACTGAAGGTGGCATGTGAGAGGTCTCCATTGCCCTGGCTTAATAGATCACAGTGTAGTATTCAGTGTTAGTTTAACATGGAACAGACCAGTTTGAATTATGTGAGGTTAGTCATGATTAAGTGGTCCCATTCATTTATGCTGTTCTGTTCTATGTAAGGATATCATTGGATGTTAATAATGGTTTATTTAACCAAAATTGTTAAATCCAAATGACCTCTGTGCTTGAACAAAGAATCTCCTTTTGTGAACCTCTATTTCTGAAATCAATTATTTCTGCTGCTGCTGTAAATGTCTTGCCATTTTGTGAACTATCTGCTTGCCTGTAACACAAAGTGGTGGAGAATCTATCCTTCCTCCCACCTCAGCATAGCTAGCTGATTTGTGAATCTTTACTTTCCCTTTTTAATGTTTGATGTTTAGGTGTTGAAGACTGTGTGTGCTCCCTCTTTGTCATGCTAGCTTGCACACAAAGCTGTGCTGCTTTCCTTCTGCAGCAAGGCATCCAGTCCATCAACTGGGTAGTGATGAGGTATCACCAAGGCATTGCATGGAGACTTACAAAAGGATTTCAGCAGGAAGGTCTAGATGGGGTTAAAATTCCCAGTGGATTCCCCTGTGCCTGACAGACACTTTATAACCCAGTTGAGCACCTCACTCTCTAAGCCAAGGGATTGCAACCTACAGCCTGAGGGCCACATGCATCCACATGGCCTTTACTGAGGCTCTGAAGTTGATTTCACCACAGCCGGCACCCTCCATTCCCTCCCCACACAGAACCTCTTCCTGTGCTTCTGCTTGTTGCAAGGAAAGAACACTGTACAAGTGTGCATGTGTATGAATGTGCATGTCTGTATGCATGTGTTTGTACATGTGCAGACCCCTGACCCTAAAGTCAGAATCACTTGAGACTCTTGGGGCTAAGAAAGTTGTGCACTCCAATCCAATCAGTACAATATGCTGATGCCTTTCAAACATACTGCAAAAGATGGTTCACCAGAAAAACCACAATGCCATCTTCTGCAGACATTGCTTCTCAAGTGTCAATGTGTGGGGGAAGACTGTGAAGAAGATTCCCTAGAAGCAAGGGAAAGGCCCTCTGCAATGTTTAGAGGCACTGTCAATTATTACCTCACATTGTTCAAGACTCAGTCCTAATGAAGAAAATGGATTCCAGTGCTGAACCTCATCAGAAACTGAGTGTTAGCAAATTCTCTATCATTTATTCTTACTGTGGCATTTCAACACAAAGGGCAAAAAGGAAGGAAAAGAAAAATGCAGGTTCATAAATTTGACTATATTATGTCCAGTTCATGCACAAATACACAAATACAACTTTCTCAGAATTGCTATGTTATTTGATTTTGGTTTATACCTCATACAATGCTAGACAACAAATTTCCCATCACAGCAAAATACTCAACCCTTGGAGCAACAGTACTTTTAGGAAAAGGTTATCTGATTATCAAAATTTATTAGAATTTTGCTGTCATTTTCACATGTTAGGTTTTGGATTCCTTGAGCCCAGTGAACTTCAACATTTTTTTCTTCAGTATGCTGAAGGATTCTTATATTTGCTGGACCATTCTGGGAGTTGTAGACACCCCCGCCCCGCTTTTTTTTTTAAGCAGGCATAGGATTTCATTTTTAGAGATGCATTAGTTGAAACTTACCCTGGCAATTGGATTTCTCTTTGAATTATCTTCTCCTTCCCTACAGGCTGCAGCAAATTTAATCCATTCTCGTTTCTGCCTCCGATATGTTTTCCATCTCCCCAGACCTTTTTCATCCCATTCTTTTACCTTGAATGAAAAGCATCTTATCATAACTATGATGAATGGAGTGCTATTTGGAACAACTATTTTGAATATTAAATATTATAGGCATTGCTCCATGTAAAGGGTTAGCATCCAAGCAAGACACTGACTGAATTTCTCTAATGTCACAGGGTGCTTGAGAATATTCAGAGATGTTTGAGAGGGAATGGTCCAGCCAGGGAATCCTGCAGACTAGTGCCATTGTGAAGGTGAGGAGTAAGCAGAGGATTAGGCGAGATGGCTGCACTACTACTTTGAAAGTCTGTGTACTATAGAGGGACCAGGGGGCCTGGAACCAGGTAAACTACATACTGGGAAATTAGAGGTATAGGTGTGGGAAGGAGCTCCACATAGACTAGAGACAGACAAGCTGGGATCACTGGAGAGACAGGAAGTTCAGGCTAGTACTCTGAAGGAGACAGGAGGATGTGTGAAAACAAGGCCCCTATGGAGGAAAAGCTGTGTACTGATTAAAGACTGTGTGTGAATAAGTTACCTCAACATGAAAAGTACCAGTGCTGAACTCCAAGAACACCTAGAAAAAGAGCAAAAAGAACTGAGTTAGGCACAGTGCTCTCTTAATTCCCTATCACCACTAATATGAATAAATAAGTTTAATATGAAATAATAAACTTCATTCATATTAAAGGTAAAGTATTTGCCTAATTCATCTGCAGACACATGCAACTTGTGCTACAGTTCTTTGGACAAATTTTTGAGTCATGCTGCCATTGAATTCAGTTGCAATGTGCAGCGGAGAGTAGAGGTCCTTCTTGACTGACAAACCACTCTCCAAATGCAACGGACCTTCAGAAACCAATTTCAAAACATCATAAAAAGATACAATTGCAACAGGAAATCAGAACAGGTGTGTACTTGGTGGTAGAACCCTTTTCAGAAAGTACAAATATGAAAGTCAAGCAAAATAATGTTTAACCCATTTCATAAAACTTAGACTGGCTTGATGAGAATGTCGTCATTTAAGCACCTGCATGTGGTGATTTTGCAATATGAGAAAGATGATTTAATTATTAACTCTTGTGCTTTCTTAAAAACTGCTTTATATTGTCTTCTTTTATAGTCACTTCAATTAGGTTGGCAGCTATGATGTGATGGGAGTTGGATGAGATGGTGAGAATTAAGGCAGGTTATAATTATCTTACACCCCCATCGTTTCCTCTATGTTAAATTTTAGATTGTAAAGGACCTGTCCTCTTGGACTTTGTAAAGAGCCATTCATGCTGGTACGTAGCTATATGAGCACAGCTGCTTCTCAATTTATCCAAAAGCCTAGACTAGATGCACCAGTTGCTTCTGTGCCTTTAAAAGCAGCAAGCAGTTCATAGCAAGAAAGATATGGGGTGGAGATACGCACAGGCAACTTCACCATGATCACGACAGAAATCATCCTTGCCATCAGCCCTGGAAGGAAGCACTCATTAGTGCCAATGAGAGTTTCCCTCCAAGGCTATTAGCTGAAAAGAAGAGAGATTATCATTTGGAGGATGGTAAACTGTGGTGCTGACACAAATTTCCCATCTGTAGCATTAAAAATGATATATAGAGATGCAAGAAGTGAAGCATTCAGCATCATGCCATAAGCTGTACGTTTAAATCCTGTTATTTTAATTAATGATCTATAGGAATGTGTTCAGGTTTCTCCCTGATGTATTTTGCCCAGATATTGCTATTTTAATTCCATAGCATGCAAACAATACAAATGGCAATGCCCCCCACCACCATCTTTATTTTCTTTTGGGGTTTCCAACTACTGTCATTCTATCTGTTTCTGTAGTTTAGGGGTGAAAGCTGAAACTTATGTAGTAAAAACTGAGGAAAAGCAAGATTTGCAAAACTACAACAAATATGTAGAGAAGACCCGCCTAAGAGGGGAGGGGAAGGACTGAACCCAGTGTGCTTAGTGGCCACAGAACCTTGAGTGTCTGGTGGTGGGAAGGTATGGAATGGAATGGAGAGGTAGACTAAGGCACGGCTGACCGACTGGAATTGTGAACAGAAGCTCACCAGCATAGCTTATCTGAAGTATATTGTGGTTGAAGGTCTTACCTGGCAGCAACTAAACAACATTTAATTATAGCTGAAAATCATTATTAAGCACAGCACTTACCCCAACAGACTATAAAAGCTAAAATAAATTTTGGATAGCTATCTTATGCATGTACTTGATCCACTAAAGTGAATTGGGCTGCCTGGGACCCAACACATGGTTTCTACATTGGAACAAAGGGTTTTGATTCTAATAACTACCCTTCTCCTTAGCACGGAAGAGAACATGGACAAATAACCAATGGAAAGTCTGCAGGCAGCTATTTCATCTCCTGTATTATGTATTCACTCCCATGTTCACCACCATGAAGCACAGCTGAATTCTGGAAAGTAATTTCTGTATATTCCCAGGTGTATAGCCTTCAGCTCTTTATAGGAAGGGAGGGATACAATGTACTGAATGACTAAGACTGCAATCCTAAACACAGTACCAGTGAGTATGTCCCACTGAACACAATGGCATTTACTTCTGATATTCTGATTCAGTCCATAACTTCACATACTCTTGACTGGCTAGGACTATAGGCCAAAATTTCTCTTTCTCTCTCTCTCAATCTATTTATTTATTTAAAACTTTTATATGCTGTCCTTGATGTATAACATCTTAGGATGGCTCACAACAATTAAAAACAAAGTCCAATAAAACAATCAGTATCACAGTATAATATAATAACACAATATATAACTAATACAAATAAATCAAATCAAAAGTGACTGTTAAAACCATTAAAATACTAATTTTTAAAATAATGCTTCAATAAAATGGTTTTGACCTGGCACTGAAAAGAGTATAGGCTCAGCGCCAGTCAAACCATTCTGGGGAGCACATTCCACAGTCTGGGTGCCACTGCAGAGAAGTCCCTCCTCCGAGTGGACATCCTCTTTACCTCCTTCAGGGAGGGTTCTTGGAGCCGGGCCTTTCCTGCAGATCTTAAGGGGCATGAGGGCGTAAGGAAGGAGATGTTCCTTCAGGTATCCTGGTCCCAAGCCGTTTAGGGCTTTATAGGTCAAAACCAGCACCCTGAATTGGGCCCAGACTTCAACTGGAAGCCAGTGGAGCTGGTAGAGGACCAATGTTATGTGAGAATAATGACTGGTCCCCATCAGCAGCCTGGCAGCTTATTCTGTACCAGCTGAAGTATCTGGACCGTTTTCAAGGGCAGCCCATGTAGAGCATGTTACAATAATTTAGGGGACAAAATAGAGCCCTGCGGAACCCCATGACAAAGCTGCCATGGTGCAGAGCTATAGTCCCCCAGCACCACTTTCTGGAATTGGCCGGCCAGATAGGAGTGGAACCACTGCCATGCAAAGCCTTCTACTCCTAAATCGGCCAGCCTATCCAGAAGGATACCATGGTTGATGGTATCAAATGCTGCTGAGAAGTCCAGGAGATCCAACAGGGACGCACTCCGCCTGTCCCTCTCCCTGTATAGGTTATCGTACAGTGTGACCAAAGCAGATTCAGTACCATAACTGGGTCTGAAGCCAGACTGAAATGGGTCCAGATAATCCGTTTCATCCAAGAGTGTCTGGAGTTGTCCCGCCACCACCTGCTTGCATGCCTTGTCCAAAAAAGGGAATGTTGGCCACTGGTCTAAAGTTGGTGCCCACCTCTGGGTCCAGGGATGCCTTCTTTAGGATTACCTGAGGACTACAAATGGCCAACTCCTGCTTATCTCCTCAGAAGTAAATCCCACTGAATTTAGTGGAGCTTACTCCTAGGTCAGCCTTCTGTAACCTTGTGCCCTCCAATTGTTCTGGACAACAACTCCCAGCTGATTTTTGGCCATGCTGATAGGAATTGACATCCAAAACATCTGGGGGACATCAGGCTGATGGAGCCTGGGTTATCAGACAGCAGCTGAAATGAGGTACTTAGAATCAACTCTATCCAGAACCTAGCTAATCTGGAAATATTTTGCATCCTGATCACCACTCCACTCTACATATTACAGAATATAAAGGTTTCTACTAGCTTCCTTCTTAAGGACTTAGATGCCAGCCCAGGGCCACTGGAAACAATGGGGACAAATTGACTACAGCTAAGAATTTCAGTTAGCTAGGTACTGGTTAAGCAAATAAAAGTTTCTTCTTACACAGAACTGGCTCAATTCCTTATAACTGCAGCCAATTGACAACAACCATAAGTTTTTCAAAATTGGAAAATAATGTAAGATATTCAACAGTTTTCATACACAGAAGCACTGAAGAAGCTTATGGGTACTCAGGCACATCTTAGGTACCAGTGAACAAAACAAGAAATGTTTCACCTACAAGATGGATATGGCTTGCATTTGGCAATCATTGTCCTAGTCAAAAATTAAGCATGTGGTTTTTCCTCACTACCCCATGAAAAAGTTCCCAGCTGCACTTCCAATGCATTTCTATTTTAGTTCCAGCAGCATGAAGGGAGCCTGTTATACAGCCTTCCCCAACCTGTTTCCACCCATCTGTGTTGGACCTTCATAACCTCCCAGCCAGCAGGCTTTATTTGGGACTAAAATAAATAAAATAAAACAAAATTATAGTCCTTACTGATTCTGCCACCAGAGTAACACTGTGGCACAATTAACCAGTGCTCTTGTTTTAAAGATAGGACAGGGAGGCTGAGAGACTGCAGCTTTCTTAAAAGGCATTGGCTCCTTCTTCAAAGACAATGTGATAGGTGTGTCACAAAGTTGTTCCAACACAGTTTTGCTTCCATGGGGCATTTGTCAAAGCTAACTCAAGGTGTGGTGGTGTCAAGCACACAACAGGATGTCATTGAACGCTGACTCTTTCCTGCATCCATATTGCACTGAGAGAGGCAGATGAGCTGCAGGGCAAATGGATGCCAAATAGGCCCAGCCCCTGGGGACCTGCTGCACACCAAAGGGCATTCTGAAATGGGGCTGTGCTGAAGCCCCACCTGCCTTTTGCAATGTCTTCCTTTCCTTGTGAAAGACACAATTGTTGCTCTGCAATTGTTTCGGAGATTTTGCTCTAGGGGCAGGGCTTTGTAATCATGGCATCATAGTAGTTTTAAGTGATTTTAATATTTTATCAAGATCTTGATAATTATGCATTTAATATAAACCATAGGGCATTTTAATGCATTTAATATGATGCACTTAGAGATTTTTTTTTTCAAATAAATCATCTAGAAAGCAAACTAATGATCATTAGTACAGAGGTGGGTAGAAGGGAAACCAGCTTCTTCTCTGTGTTTATGTGTTGCTTCTCTCCCTCCACTACATTCTTCTCTAACCTGATGCCTTCCAGACACGTTGGGCTACAACTCCTATCGCTTTCAGCCAACGTGGACAGCACCAGTTAGGAGAAAACTGCTGTAGTATATACAATACCAGATGTGAACCTCAGAGTGCAGGCAGATCTCTGGACTGCTGTGCATATGGGCATGAAAAGGACAGGAATGCAGAAAAATCAGAATGACAGCTCTAGATTAGCAGAGTCCTAAACAATAGTTACAGGAGTAGTCTGACTAACCTGGCAATTAAGTTTCTCAGACAGCATAGGGCTGGGGAAGATTGCAGAGCTGCTGGCAATCACTCCAGACATTGCTATGCTGAGTGTCCCAGTTCTTTGAAGTTACTGAACTATTGAGTTGCTGCTCAACAGAAAGTTACTGAATCTTGTCTGACTGAGACCACCAATACTGAACATGCTACTTAAGAGCAAGCCCCATTGGGCACAATATGGCCTTCCTTTTGAATAAGAATGCATAGGATTTTAATTTCAAACACAATTTCATAGATTATTCTAAGAATGAACTCATGTACATGTTTCAGTCCAAATTCCTAATATCTGAGCAGTTGCTGTACATGCAAGTATCTTCAGTTCCATTGCCTTAATATGCTGCTCTGCAACTTCTACTTCAAAGCTATTTACAAACCTGAGTTAAGTAACCATTATCAGTGCCAAAGCAATATTAAGTGCAATTATGGAATGCTGCCTGCTCCACCTACATGCACGCAAATGACTGAACATGCCCTTAATGCCTGATTCATTGTATTTCCCAGTGCTGTTTGTTTCAGGAGCTGAGTCTGCTCACTTTGAAGCCAAGCAAGGGCATTGCCGTGAACAAGGCTGAGTTTCTCAGCAAACGTGATATTATTAGTCATTCTTATGCCATTGTAGAATGCACTGTGTCAGCAGTTTAGGCTTTATATTTTATTCCGGAGTCAAAACTTTCCCTGAATAAGATTAGATCTTTATTTTATAAAAGAAAAGTTCTATAAGTGTGCAGTTAAAATCCTGGTAGATGATTTTGCTAAACTTCTTGGTTTGAATGGAAAGTCTAATCTATTATATGGTTAGAAT